AATAACACCTACCTACACACACACATACTACATACTTACATACATACATACCATCAGTCATGCCGAGCTACAACCACAGACCTAACATCGAAAAACCGTAACTAAGCCCCGTGCCAACGAGGGTCTTCGGTAACTGTCTCATGCGGCACGTCCTGGTCAGCTGCGCAGACCTTAAACCCCAAGCCCGAAACCAACAAACCCTAAATCCCAGGCCTTAATCCCTCAACCCTAAACCAAAACAGCTCCACTTACGAGGGCCAAGTTCACCAACATAATAATCACCTAACACTTGGCCTTGGCCTGAGAACTTGCCATTCTTATTCCTTAGCTAACAGGGTTTCTTATCCCAGCTGTAATATACAAGACTGCAATCATATCCATAGTAATGTAACTCCCCAAAAGCAGCTCTAAGCATCGAGGTATGATGGACATGCAGCTGCTCCTATAAGCACTTCCCTATCGATCTTTCCTGTATGGCATCATGTCTCGGCTAGCCTCTTTGGGCCCTGGAAATAGCAGCATGGCCCCGTCAGTGTCCATGCTTTAAGCCACCTGGGCAGAGCTTATCCTTCGGCTCCAGCCGTAGTCGGTCTCGGTGGTCAGGCCTACGCCGGTAAGGTCAAAACCGAGGAATGCCTCGTCGATGTGGGAGTTTTCCGAAAATTAGGGGTACCTTCTTTTGGGGACCTTATAACAAGGATCCTACTATTTGGGGTACCATATTAGGGTCCCCTGTTTTCGGAAACTCCCATGTCGGCCATCTTCCCCTGGCCCGGGGGACGCGGGTGAGCCTTGCTGTATTCTGCCCACTCCCCGTTTGACCAATCGCCCACACGGTACCAGATCCAATCTTCACGTGCAGCCAGATTCCTGTTGTGACCCACAGCCGCATGCGAACAGATTCCATCATGCAGAAAACCCCATCAGAGCCCTTAAACCCGAAAACAAGCCCCAATGAATCAACATCCGCCACTCTCCACGTGTTCCCAGGTGCAACAAGGTTAAAGGCCCGATGGTGAGATGTACGTCTCTCCGAACCCGGAACCCCTAAATCCTAGAAGGCTAGGCAGTCTCAGACCCTACAAAATATCCAGGTAACTGGCATTTAGATATCCCCCGGGTTTGGGCCTTGCAGGGAGCTGCGCAGTGCTGAGGGCACGGGGCTTGTTGTGGACATGTGAAGTCGGAGTTATGCTGCTCCGCTTTCCCCAATCAACCGTAGAGGGTCTAGGGTGTAGGGCGTAGGGGCATACAGCATCGAAACGCTGGCCAACACCCTCTAAACCACGGGGGCAGCCCGAGCATCTCAAGTTCCAACAACTCTCACCTTATCCCTGGTTTCAGGTTATCTATACCCCCCTTAGAACCAACATGCAAATAATATTCTTGATATTCTCTTGGGTGTTATATGAACAAGAAATAAACAACAAATCAGAGTTCTGGAGTTTAAGGGCTGGGATTAAGGCCTCAATCCAGACAATGGTGTGTCATCGGGCAGAAGAACACGGCGCCCTAGGGGCGGGAGAGTGGAAGGGAGTCGATCTCCTGATTGCGCCGCGTCTTGGCGAGCTTGTGTATGGCTGTGGCCTCAGCAGCGCGGAGGACGTTCAGTGGGGCCTTAAAATGGGCACCAGCTCTCCCACTGTTTTCAGGTTTTGAGCTTACAAGGGAAGACATAAAGAATGCTTCCAGTTTCAGCTCCAGTTTGGTCGAGTACGGATGAGCACAAAACTGCTGGCAAGCTTGGCACTATGGATGCGCTAAGACTGAGTTTTACGAATAGTCTCTAAAACTTCGTGTCAGTTTAGACAGTGCTGCGGCAGCTCTGCATTTCGATGTGGAAACGATCCACGTTGTCATGCGAGTCACAAGCCAAGGTTGCGAGTTTAGGGCGCTACACCAGCTGCTAGGGCTGCTTGCTCCAACTCCGGGCGAAGTGGAAGGCCTGTTGCAAAAAAGGGCGCTACACTAGGAGGGCTAAACTCCACGCCGGCCGAGCTTGGGAGGAGCCAAACAATGCACACTTGTGGGCAGGCCTTTGCTCATGCCTTGCCTAGGGCTAGGGTGTGCCATCGGAGCATGTCCTTGAAGATCTATACCCGAGACCTCGTGCAAGCAATCAGACACCGACCTTCCACGCAGTTCGCCCAAGGACACCTTGGATACGCAACCATATCTGAAACTCAACATCTTTGAAGTCCCCAACCCGAAACCTCGCATGATCCAGATTTCTTGGCTTTGCCATCACCGATGTGGACATCAAGACGAGCTTGAAGAATCCACGTTTCGTGTGCTAGGCGGAGATCTTTGACTATCTGCACGAATATTTCTGAAAAGGCACAAGGCCCAGCCCGCGTAGGAGTGATGCGACAACTCGGAAACGATGGATATCCACAGAAGCACGCTCCAAACACCCCATGGCCCTGCATCGAGATTCGGCTACATGGAGCAGTATGTACGGGCTTTTGTTGGCAAGGGTAGACAGGGAATGAGATGAATCATTTCAGCTGCCAATACTATTTGGGGTGGGTTCCTTCCTACAAAAAGTACAGTGTATAATTACCAATAGACGCGAGCACTACACCGAAATAACACGCGTCCAGCCTTGTTCCCGTGACCCTAAGACCTGGGATCCTCGAGCCCAAACGTACCTACCTGTAGCCGGAAAGACCTACCTTTTTAGGGTCCTTATTATGGTTTCTATATATAGTTCCTTAAAACGGTAGGTCTTTTCGGCTACAGGTAAAGCCTACCTGAGCCCTCTAAAACCTACCTTTCTCGGGCTCCTGATGGTAAGAGCTTTGCATAGGTCGTCGTTTTTTGCATCAGGGCTTGTGCAGTCGCCTGACTGTCTGCGCAGTACAAGTCTTTCACAGGTAGGTTATTCGGGGTTAAGGCACCCCCTAAACCCTAAACCCTCTCCCACAGAACCCCATACTATCAGACCCCTGGGGCATCTTAATCCCTGAACACAAGCCACACCCCATAATGTAGGAACCTGATTAAGAAACCCTGGCCCTAAAACCCAAATATATCATTATTTATATAAGGAACCCTGATAAAGACCCAAGGTTTCTTCACCAGGTTTCTGCAGTAGCCCTTATCCCTGAAGCCTAGGGCTTAGTCCGCGAAGCTAAGTAAGCTCGTAATTGGACTGGAAGGCTTCCAGCCTGCTTGGAGGTTCATGGGTAGCCATAGGTAGGGCTATAAGCGGGGTAACTATACAGTACTTAGAACTTAGAACCGCATATTAGGAGACTTATAACCCCACTTATAACTACCCATGCACCTCCACGTGGGCATAGTTGTTCTCTTGTTTTGCAGTGTAAGGCTTATATTCGGGATCAGGGTTAAGGCTTTCCTTCTTTTCTTTTTCTAGGAACCTGCCTGTTCAGTATCATAGGGGAACATTCGGGGTTAAATGGGGAATATACTACCCCCACACAGGTTTGAGGTTGCCTACACTTTCTACTAAAGGAATCTGACCATGAACCACCTGGGTTATCCACCCCAAAATTCAAAAGAATAGGTGGCTAGAATGCAGAGTAAATTGAACGCGTGCTGAACCTCCCGGCCCCTCTTTCTGAGGATTGCCCAGAGCCCTCAAGGGTCTGTTTCGTCAGAATCGGGGCCGAACGACAAATCTGTGAAATCAACACAACGATTTGACTTCGGAGAGTCGAAGAGTTGTAGGAATGCTATGGTCCACCCTGCTTCCAAGGGCACGTTTATAACCCCACGCAAAACGAATGCGCTAAATCCTTAACCCTAACCCGGAATCTAAAATCGTCTGACGCTTCACGTGAACCATGCATACATCTGTTCAAGATCAAGCCCTCGGGTACTCGGCCTGCAACCCTAAGCAACAGCTACGACACGAGTCTCAGGGGGCGCAAGCAGCTCACGCAACCCGAGTTTAGGTTCTAGGGCAGTCCTCAAAAAGAATGCAAAGAAGGAGGGGCTTTCTTGCTTCAAGAGTTTGGAATCCTGCAAACCGTCCCTTCCTAAGGTGCCGCAAAACAAGCACAAGTTTAGCTGAGACGCAAAGGGCCAGGGGGTGTAGTCTCGGGGGCGAACCGGGAATCGAGCTTTGGTTTGAGTCGGTCGAGTGCTAGTGGTCGGGCCGGAACTCGCTGTGGGAACAGCAAACAAGGGATCATGTATACCTATAATGTAGGAACCTGATTAAGAAACCCTGGTCCTGTAGCCCCCAAATAGTAGGATTCATGTCAGGAACCCTCATAACTGTAGCCTATGTAGATGGTATATGTTCGGCTTGGCTTGCTCGGCGAGTCCTCTTGATGACAGTGCCCTCCTTCGCTTACGATTCCTCCGCGTTGCAAAAGGAAAATCTCCGGAGAGCACAAAACTTGCCATTGAGGCTCCATCCATGTTTGGCATTCCTTAATTGTGCTTCCCTGCTATAGGTCCTGCAATAGGAAGTAAGCCTTGTGGGTTCTGACGGGTTGTTTCAATGGCATTGGGTGCGTGCAGGTTGGTGCTACAAGTCCAACGAACTATAGAGGGCAGGACAACCAAGCGGCGAAATGGAGCGATCGAACTACTATGGGTGTGTATTCTAGGGTTTGGGGATGCTGAGAATAAAATCTTCGAAGTGACTACACCTTTGGATGGTCTGTAGCGACATCTCTGCTAAGCGTGTGCTTCGAAAAGAACAAATGCCTAGCTTCTGCCAAGCCCCAAGCCCTAAACCGTAGAGGCCGTAGATCCTTGACTCCAAGCTCTCTTTTGTCTCTCCGGTGGGGGCGTCGGCCCCCTCATCTGCTCTCAGCTGAGGCAAGAGCAGCAAGAGAGTGAGCAAAAACCGCTCGGCTTCTCGTTCATCATAGATGCGAAGCCCTAAAAAACCCCAAACCGAGGCGGTTTACCATGTAGTCCTAGTTGGTGGGTTCCCTGACACCCGAGTAGATCTTTACCTTCTGGTACGATGGTCTTCGCTGTTCAGCTACTCAGGAGGCCTGTTGCCGTCTCTGTGTGCCTCAAGCAGAGATCTCACGGAGCCACCCAAACTTGTCCGGCTCGTCGCCGACCTGCGAAGGTGAGAAGTTGAAGCTTACCTTGCCAACAATCCGATGTGCTGAGCGTATAGGCAGTCGGGCTTGGGGTGTTGCGGTGTTGCGCGATGTTTTCAGGTCTCGCTTCGATCTGAGGGCCCGCAGGAACGATGTTTCGGTATGCAGTTGCTTTGATAGTTGCTACCCTACATCAACCCCAGACAGCCTGTTCGGGACATATTTAGAAGAAATCATGATGAGGAAACACAAAAGGAAGGATCCGCATCGGTTAATGTAAACCAAGAACCCAGTACCGTAGACCTAGTCTTGTCACAATCCCGGATTCTATATGCGCTCTGGCACGACCCCGTGCAGGATTGCTCAGACCCCGAATCTGGCCCCGGTGCTGCGTTTGCGCCGTTGGCCCCGGCTTCTCTGGGTGAGCCCGAAAAGAGGAGAGTTGTGGGACATGAATTTCTTGAATCTCGAGCCGCCCCGGCCCTCGGCGGAACGTGAAGGCCAGCAGGCCTTGCTGGGACTTGGAGCATCTGGGGGTGTTGGCCTTGGTATTCGACAACGAGGGGCTCGCCCTCCCGGTATCTCCCGGTGGACCACCTGTTGAAGCACTAGCCATTCCGGCGAGTCCCCGTCGTCTCGGAGCTCTGTGACATCGTCACAAAATCTGAGATTGCCCAGGTCGTACTGCAGGCCTCAGCGATGCAGAGGGTGTACTCCCCTGCACCTTCAGGGCAGCAGATGGCTCCTACTTAGTTACTCTATGCACCTTCGCGGCTTCGACTAGAGTTGTAGTTAGTAGACAGGCCTACTGACTCCCATCAGCATTTCCCTTCTTCGTGGATGTTCAAGACCGACTCCCAATTCGAAACGAACGGTGTGGTCCCTGACTAGGCCGCAAGAGAAAGGCCAACCACTCTGTGGCCGTGGCCTAAACACAAACATTGCTTGTCAGCACGAACCGGCACTGTGCCCGGAGCCCAACACAACAGCAAGTCACAGGTTTGCGTCATGCTCAAGACGGTTTGGTCAGAATTTCAAGCTGCAGGGTCCTTGGGTAATGAGCTGATGGTCGGCGAAAGGTGCAAAGGGTCCAGGTACCCAAATAGTAGCGCTCCAAGCTCTATGCTTTGAATGATGGCTTGTTGGTATCTAAATCCCGCATCCTTGCCGGCTCGAACTCTTAGGGACCGATTGGTTGAAGAATCTGCCTCCCTGGCTATGAATATATACAGCACCAGACCACAGGCATGACCGAAAACCCTACAAAGCTGACAGGCCGAAGCTTTCGAAACAACGCAGGAATAATGTAGGGGCCTTGATAATTAGAATAGGGTTTGGGGGTCCATTATACTATAGTTACAATAAGGAACCCCTAAAATAATATAGGTATTTATTTAGGCCCCTATAGTAGGGACTTGGGAAGCGAATCTCGAAGCGGGTTTAGGGCTTTAGGGTGCGTTCCGGCTAGGGTTCAGGGTTCTCCATTCTTAACCCTGTGCATCCCAGCCGTCTTGAGGGTTTTTCCCTCCTACCTTTGGGGTTTAGATATGTTTACAGGCAGAACAGCCTGAATGCAGACGCATATTTTCTTGAGCCAATGAACGACAGTAGGTGCAGGTGACTAGCTACATCTTCCACAAAATACACCCCCCGCGCATCTTAGTGCAACGGTTGAGGCGAAGGCGATGGAAGGAAAGACTAGTCACTAGACCGTCGTGAGCATATCACTTTGTGACAGCGAAAACAACTTGCAACAAAAGCAAATTATGCGGCCGATGTTTTGCGCCCTGTGCTGTTTGTACGAGAAGGTTAGCTACCAACCCGTTAGGGCGGTGCCGACGCTTAAATCTCACTTCACTACTAACCAGACGGCATCTAAATGTCTCAGAATACCATCCCGTTAGGGAGGTGATCAAGCTCGGCACAATGGGCCGTCGATCAGATGACCTCAGTAGATGCGGTCACGGCGGTTGGTCCTGTAGTTGTAGACCTCATGGACCCATCCTGACAAGAACCATTGGGCATGAGAGGTGTCCAGAATCGTGAAGCCATGTGGGTTGCCATGAGTAGGAATGGCATTCACGACTGAAGTAGGCTGGATGTAGTCTTCGGTCATCGCAGCGAACACCGCCCATTGGTACATGTCAACGCGGTGCCAGTCCATTCGCCTGGCAAGCGAAGGATCGATGATGTTGCCGGAAAGATCGTTCCCCAACACGAAGTTTGAGTACAACAATCCTGCGACCCTGAGCTGCTCAAAGAAGTTGACAACAGTCTCACGCATCCGGACCTGTCGGTCGGGGACATCTCTCGTCTCGAAGAATACGCCGAAGGTCGGTGGGTCATGGGGTCGCCGGCGGTAGGTCTCGGACCATTCGCGCCTTGTGCCAAGATCAACAGCAGAGGACGGTGTCTCGCTCACTGTTCCATCCATAGTGGTATCGGGAGCAACCGTTTCCGGTGCTGGACTGCTGAAGCCTGTACCAGCACGCATTGCATCCCAATCCGCGTCACTGATATAGCTGGACGGATCACGTGCCACACGCCTGGGCGGCGGCATCGCAGGCTCCCGAGGGGTGCGATCGGTAGATGAGCCCGCTCCATCTCCAGGGTTGGTCCGGATGTGGACCTCGGTCGGACGATGTCTGGCGATCGGGGACCTTGTGCGATTGCGCTCTGCTGTACCCGATGCACGCTCGTCAGAGCTGCGACCTCGTTGTGCAGGAGATGCCGGAGGCTCAGGTGGGCGACGTTCGGACGCGGGTGCCGAAGTGGTCAACCTCACGTGGCCGCTCTCCCCGATGCGCTTGTCCATGTAGTACTGCTGGTACCGACGATAGTAAGGGGTATTGGCCAGCAACTCGTTGAGCTGACGTTTGCCAAGTCCCTGTGCCTCAGCGGGTACCTGCAGATCTCTCTGGGTGCGAAGAGAAGGATTTGTCTTCTCGATCCTTGTCCGGCTCAGCGGCAGTTGTGCCTTGAAGAAAGTAGCCAGCTCGGCCATGATCGGCAAGATTTCATTCTGCACGACGATGTATTTCTCCCCATCGTACTGCAGGATGGAAAACTCATGCTGGTTCGACTTCACAGCCTTGATGAGAACTGCAATCTCATTGATGGTGTAAAACCGATCATGAAAACAAATCAGACACTCCGTAAGGAGGTCGATCTCAAGCTGGCCTGTCACCCAGAGGAGGGCAACCTTTCCAGTGGCATCATAGTAGGTGGACGAACCATGCCCTTTTCCTTTGCCCTGAGGATCAGGAAGCCTCACGTTAGCGAAGCGTTGCAGCGCCTCGACAGTGTGAAAGCTGAGACCCATTTTGGCGTAGTTGTGAGCAGTGATGGGGTCCACACTGTACTGCCCCTGCGGAGTGGTGTTGTGGAGCTTCTCCGCTCTCTTCTGCTGATTGAGGACCTTCTGGCGGATGCCAGACGCTGTGCTTTGGATTCGTTCCCTTTCTTCTGGCCCTTGAATCTTCACACGCGCGTGCTTAAGCCCCGAGGATGGCTGCAAGTCAATGATGTTGACCTGCCTGCCCTCTCGGGCGGCGCTTCGCCGGAGTCTGTCGGGCTCGGCGATAATCGCAAGGTCGGTCATCTCGATGAGGCGACGTTGGCAACCTGGACAGGAGATCATTCCGTCGATGTACTTGTGATTGCACGAGCTGCAATGGTACCCGGGGTAGAGTACCAACTCCTGTTTGATCCAGTGCCTCGGTTCAATCCTCTGGCGAAGTCGGATCCGCTTGCCTTCCATGGATGGCCAGACGTGGATGCCGATTCCGAGCGAGCCGTCATATGTTTCGATGAGCTGGTCATCGTTCTTCCTTCGCTCGATGACTTCTTCGCCGACCTCGCTCAAGATGTCCGCCGAAATGCGAAACGGGGTCTTGCAGTCGATTGCGACCGGCGCCCACTCAGCGATGGTGAGATTCTCGGCGGTTTCCAACAAGTCGAGAAAACAGTTGTGCTGCTCCAAGGCAAATTGATCTGGACCAAAGATGTACTTGTGGCTTCCATCCTTGTTCCAGCTCGCTAGAGCGGAGTCAATGTTCCGACGGAACGCCTGGTAGGCCGGATTGACCCACACAGGCTCTGCTGTGCCCCGCTGATAAGCGTAAACCAGATATCGATTGCTGATCCAATCTGGCGTCTCCAGTGCCCCGGAGCGAGTCTCGAAGAGCCGGACGCCGTCCAAGACGGCCATTTGGAGATCGATGGCGAACTCGACGTCCGCCGCCTCGCGAAGGCCCGCATTGTCATCCCTTTTCCATTCTGGTTGCTTTGACATCATGACAAAAGCTCTGCTACCACTCTCGTGGAGCGCGGCACCACCTGGCAACAATCCGTATCTGATGATATCTGGGAAGTGCCTCATGAAGGTGCCGTGGTAGCCCAGTTTGCAAGGGAAATCGACAAACTCCTGGGAGTACATGTCGAACGGATGAATCTTAGGCCGAGTCGCTAGACTGGCGTCCCATGGCACAAAGGAATGCACCACGGAGTGGATGTCGGCGAGTTCGGTATCGTCACCGAAGAGCCCCGACCAATGCCCATGGATAGCCCGAGCTCGAAGCACGTCAAATTCCTGATCATTGTGCTTCTGAATGTACACTTCGTAGCGGGCTTTCCCGTCGACTGGAGTCTTAAAGACTTCGAAGATCTGGGAGACCTTGAGCCCGTTCCAGATCTGGCTAAGGGCATCGATGAACTCTTCCCAGTCCATCGAGAGGTCGTTCCGACGGATCGTCACTGTCGGCGTTCTATTGCCGTACTCGGGCTTGTTGGTGAAGCCTCTAAGGACGAATGCACACTTCTTGCCCAGTTTGAAGCGCTGGCCCTCACTGAGGTGTCGATGATCAGACGCGAAGGGCGGCAGGTCCGGGCCTGACAACCAAAACTGACCATCCCTTCCGGGAGGTGACGCTTCTGCCTTGTCACTGGCAGCGTGCTCCGCCTTTGGCGTAGGTGCCGATTTCACAGCGGTGATAGGCATCTTCTTAGGAGGCGGTGGC